AAATTAGCAACCCAAATGCCTCACAGAGGATCTCCCTCCATTCTAATCAAGAGTCCAGGGACAAAACCAAGTTTTGAGGGCTCCCAGTATTAGCAATATTACCTTAGATTACCCCAGATTACAGAGCTAATTGGAGATTGAAGAGGGGAGCTTGAGAAATCACAGGTATTCCAGATGGCACCGGGACAAAGAAGTACAGCAAGGTGTATCTCCAATTAGGGCTGCAATCTGGGGTAACCTAAGATAATATTCCTTCTAAAAGGTAATGCTCAAAAAGTCCTCGTTCAGTCGGGGGGGGGGGAGCTCTACTTTCTGACCTTGTGGACTGTCTTCCAAAATGGTTTTTAAGATGGTCAACTTTCAACAGCAGCAGCATCTGTAGCCTCCAGTGCAGCAGCCAGCTTCCAGATGCAAAAAAAGGGGCACACTCTTGATCATCCACCTCCTGCACTGAATGCTCCTCTCTTCTGGAACCGAGCAATGTAGAAACTTTGATAAGAACCAGATCTAATTCTTTAATCTGGCAGCTATCCATCTTCTCAGGGCCAAAGAATGGCTTCCCCACCATCTTGTCCATCTTCTTGTCACTCTTCCACTTTTTAATGGCTTTAGCAGCAGAACTTTTGCATTTCCCCATAGCTCCTCTTGCTGATCTATCACCAGCAGAGCTTCCTCTCAGTCCACAAATCACTCACATTACAAGGACCTGCCTCTTTTCACGGCTTCTCACTAAAAACCATCAAAGTTCTTGCTCTCTTCCATTTCTTCGCACGTTTTCAAACCCTCCATTTTCACAATCTAAATAAACAAAATAACTAAACTAGCTTAATAGTTTTCAAAGAAGCTGAAATATTACTGTTGTTCTTGTCCTAAAAAATTGACTCTTCTATACCAGCCTCAGATTCTGTTACCTGTCAATCTTCTTTTTAGAAATACCTGGCTTTTTTCTTCTTTCCTTGTCACTTATTCTTTGTTTTTTTTTCCTTTCAATTGGCGCTTTTAAAGCTTTCCCCCCTGTTTTTATACACCAAATGATTCCTATCCTTCTACTGATTTCTCTTTTGGATTTCAACACTATTTAACTGCCAAGGGTCTTGCTACTAGATTCAACTCTGACCTTTTTCTCAGAGAGGCATGTCAGAATCCGGAAAACAAAGCAAAACGGACCTTACATTTATCTCAGGGTACTTATAGACACAGCTGTGTGAAAAAGTCTTGCACGCTTTACGGTTTATGACGTTTTTTGAACAGGC